GAGGTTTCGCCCTCATATTGTGATTATAGTCGAACCCCGTATTAGTGGGGCTCGGGCCCTTGAAGTTATCAGGGATATAGGATATGATAGTAAACTTGTAGTTGATGCGATTCATTTTTCGGGAGGGATTTGGGTTATTTGGAATGAGAGTGAATTCACCATTACCAGGATTGACTCGCACCCTCAATGTTTGCATGTGCAGGTCCAAACGGCGAACTCTCAGGTGGCGCCATGGCAGTTATCAGCAATCTATGGTCACCCAGCTCCGGTCCAGCGACGAGCTCTGTGGGAGCATCTGCGGTTGGTCGCGGAGGATGTTGAGGGCCCCTGGTTATTGACTGGTGACTTTAACTCCATCCTCCACCCGTCAGAGAAACTGGGGGGGGCCAACTTTGACTCCGCTCGAATCAGGGACTTCCAGGATACCGTCCACGACATCGGCCTCCACGATATGGGTTTTAAAGGGCCCCCCTTCACCTGGTTCCGATCTGGGCTGCGGGAGAGGCTTGACCGTAGCATGGCCAACACGAGTTGGACGTTGGCATTTCCGGAGACCTCTGTCAAGCACCTCCCTAGGCTCAAGAAATCGGACCATCGACCCCTGTTAACCTCACCAACTGCGCTAGTCCAGCCGGCAGGAGCTAAACCCTTTAAGTTCCTCGCGGCCTGGCTCACGCACGAGGGGTTCAGACCCATGACGGATGCAGCATGGGCGAAGGGCACCACCTTTACAGACTCGGCTGCTGCGTTCGCCCAGGACGCAATGGTGTGGAACTGGCGGGTTTTTGGTCACATAATGAGGAAGAAGGACAAGCTGATCCGCCGACTCGAGCAGCTGGAGCTGGTTCCGCCAAACATGAGGAATGAAGACAGGATCTTCCAAGTTCAGGAGGAGCTTGAGGTCATTCTCTTCCAGGAGGAGCTATTATGGCTCCAGAAGTCAAGAACAGAAAGGATCAAGGCGGGCGACCAAAATACAGCATACTTCCACGCTAAAACCCTCCGGAGAAGGAAGAAGAATCGGGTGACTATGTTGAAAAATGAGGAAGGGGATTGGGTTGAAGACCCGGCTGCTTTGCTGGACATGGCAAGGGTTTTCTTCCAGGCACTCTATACAGACGAGGGAGGGGACCTCCCCACCATGGATTCGGCCTTCCCGATGCTAGAGGCCTCGAGATGGGCTGCTCTTGATGCTCTCTTGGACACCGAGGAAGTCTATGGAGCTATTCGGTCGATGGGGGCTCTTAAAGCCCCGGGACGAGACGGCCTCAACCCGGTTTTCTTCCAACGATGTTGGGAGAAGGTGGGGCCCTCTCTGGTCCAATTGGCGCAGGAATGCTGGACCCAGCCTGAGAAGATCCGGGACATCAACTCGACGGTCCTGGTTCTCATTCCCAAGAATCCGAACCCGGTGACGATCGACCAGTTCCGCCCGATCAGCCTGTGTAATGTGGCCTACAAAGCTATAACAAAATGCCTGGCTGAACGGTTGAAACATTTGTTGCCGGACTTGGTTCACGAGACCCAGACTAGCTTCGTGCCTGGCAGGCAGATTACGGACAACATATGCATTCTGCAGGAGGTAGTTCACTCTATGAGAGCTCGCAAAGGACGTCGAGGGTGGATGGTTTTAAAGATGGATCTGGCGAAAGCCTATGACCGAATCAGATGGGGATTTGTGCGGGATACGTTGGTTGCGACAGGGGCTCTGGAAGGCTTTATCAACCTCACGATGGCATGCATTACATCATCAAAAATGCAAATTCAATGGAATGGCGGGTTAACAGAAGAGTTTCAGCCATCCCGTGGTCTTAGACAGGGATGTCCTCTTTCTCCCTATCTATTTACTCTTTGCATGTTGGGCCACTTAATTGATGATTCGGTAAGAGCGGGTCGCTGGCAGCCCATAAAGCTGACCAATAACGGCCCCTCTTTGTCCCATCTTTTTTTTTGCAGACGACCTCATCCTGTTCAGCGAGGCCAATGTCACTCAAGCTCAGGAGATCATGGACTGCTTCGACAGATTTGGCGCTTCATCGGGACAGCAGATCAGCCGCCCGAAGTCCCGAGTTTTCTTCTCGGCTAACCTGACCACGGATCACCGAAGGAGCATCACTGAGGAGTTGGGCATACCTGAGACTCTAAACTTAGGACGTTATCTGGGAGTACCGGTGATCCACGACAGGGTGACCAAAGCCACGTTCATTGAGTTGATCGATAAAGTTGATGCAAGACTCGCGGGCTGGTCGGCGTCATCCATGTCCCTGGCTGCACGTATAACCCTTGCTCAATCTGTGCTCTCAGCGCTACCCGCTTACACGATGCAAACGGCCTTCCTCCCGGCGAACGTCCGGGAGTACATAGACAAAAAAATCCGGACCTTCGTCTGGGGTAGCTCTGACCAGGGAAGAAAAGTCCATCTAGTGGACTGGGCGACAATTTGTAGGCCGAAGGATGAGGGCGGGTTAGGCCTCAGGGGTGCAACGAGGATGAACGAGGCGTTCATGTTGAAGATTTTATGGCGTTTGATGACGAAGCCGGACGAGCTCTGGGCGCGCGTCATTCTCGCCAAATACTGCAGGAACACGGATGAGGGGCTTCTCTTCAAAACCAATGGCTGTCTCTCCAATCTTTGGCGGGGAGTCCTGCGAGTCCGAGACCGGGTGGAAGACGCATCTGCTTGGAATATCCGGAATGGCCGGGTGGCTCGGTTCTGGAGCGACCGATGGGTGGACGATTCCACCATATTGAAGGATCATGCCCCGAACCTTCCGCCGGAGTTGATGGACGCGCCTGTTGCCGAATTTGTCCTTAACGGTGAGTGGAATGTGCCATTTTTGACTGCCTTCTTACCCAGTTCGATGGTTTCGCAGGTACTGCTCCACCCGGTGCCGACTGAAGCTGAGCCTGATGTACGCTACTGGCGGCTGACGCAGAACGGGGCCTTCTCGTTTCGCACGGCCTACGAGTTGACCGATGAAGCCGCGAGCCCAGCCACGAGACAGCCCATCTGGAGATCGATTTGGAGGACACCCACGATGCAGAGAATACGCGCCTTCCTCTGGCTGCTCAATCACAACCGACTCCTGACGAATGCCGAGAGGGCCCGACGCCACCTCACAACAAATGTCGACTGCAAGATTTGCGGTGGGGGCCCAGAGACTGCGCTTCATGTTGTAAGAGACTGCCCGTTTGCGAGAGCCACTTGGGCGGGGATTCTTGAAGATGAACCTGATGTGGACTTCCTTGAACCCGACCTACACAGGTGGTCAATGCATTATTTATCTGGGCGGAGTAAGATTATTGATAGTACCCTTTTTGCAGGCACGTGTTGGCTTCTGTGGAAGAATCGGAATGATCACCTGTTTCGAAGCGAGTTGAAAACCCATGAGCAGCTCCAGTTCTCCACCAAACAGCTGCGGCTTCAAATAATTAAAGCTTTTGAGAAGGAGGGCACTATCTCCGGAGATGGGGGACTCCGTGAGAGGCGGGATATCAGCTGGCAACTTCCGCCGAATGGTTGGGCATGCGTTAACACCGATGGCTCAGCCACCTACTCTCCTGCGAGCACGAGTTGTGGCGGCATCGTGAGGGGAGACGATGGCCGTTTCATCAAAGCATTCACAGCGAACTTAGGAGGGGGTTCGATCACTCGTGCAGAGCTGGCTGGAATTGCTTATGGGTTGAGATTCGCTTGGGAAGAGGGGATCAGGAAGGTTGTTCTACAGACAGACTCCTGCACTGCCCGCACTTTGATCGAGAACGCGACTCCGCAGCATCCTCATTACTCATGCATTGCAGATATCCGCCAATGGCTAGCTCGGCCTTGGCTTGTCAGGATAGAGCATGTTTACAGAGAAGCGAATTTCGTGGCTGACCACCTCGCTTCCATTGGCCATTCTGTTCCGATAGGGGTTCATGGGATTCAAAATCCTAGTAGTACTCTGCTGTATTGGTTGTACTTTGACTCTCTGGGGATTCAAACACCCCGTTTCGTTAATTCTTAATTCAGGCTAGGGCGCCCTTTGCGCCCTGTTTCTTACCCAAAAAAAAAAAAGAAATTGGACCTATTCCATTCCAAACCCCACCCAAAATCATTAAGAATGTATATGAGCAGTGTTGTCAAACCCGTTAAACAATAATCGCCAATTACCAGTATTAGGAAGAGGTTAAAAGTTTATCGGATAACTTGTGATAGACTTGTTATATATATATTTATGATCCATGATACATATGAAAATTAGTATTAGTTTAGAATTTGAGAATTTGATATATGATATACAGATTCTACAGAATAATTCAATATTTAAAAGTTAACCATACAAATAGTAGAGAAGACAAAATCACAAAAAATCAAGAATAGGAATAACTTCCCTTCCCTTTATTTTTCTTTTTGAGTTTTTCTTATATGGAAGGACATTAAAAAAACAAAAAATTACCAAAACCAGCAGTTTGATTTTGGCCGATTTTGGCGGTTAATCGGGTGAATCGGTTACAACCCTGACGTCCAAATTTGAGTTTAACAAATTTGTTAGATACATTAATTAGTTCTTCGTGGTAGCTTGATGTAGAGGACAGCATATATGAAGTATGATATTTTCAGCAAGCTATGAATTTTTTCGTATCCATATAAGCACAACTCATCTCATCGATAATTAGGAGTGAGTCTTATCTTATTCTTATATTTGGTTTTCAGAGGTCTCCATATTTTTTTATACGGTCAATTAATTAGGGTATTGAATATGCGATTGCGACCGTAAGGATAAAAAAAAACTTGACCGGCCGGCCGGTTGCTTCCGGGAATAATCGACACTTCCATAGTAAAAAGCGACGGAACACGTACGTATTGCATTAATTAGACATCCTCTCTTTGGAGTCGTCCCAAACAGCATACACTGGCCGCCCCAATTTCTCCTTATAAATCAAATCCACATCTCAACTTACATCAAACCATACTTACAAGCACAATTAATATACAAGACGAGCTAGATTACAATATTATGAAGAAGGCCGCCATTAATAATGCTGCTTCTCCCGTGGTCATCATTGGTCTTGTACTGGGATGCATCACCATCTTTTGCTGCTGCCCGTTCACTGCAGCCACGGTCACGTGCAGCGGAGGACAGTTGAGCTCCGGCGACGCTCTGTCGACGGCGAGGGACCAATTGTTCACCGACCTGATAAGCAACACGTTCTGGAACTCCTACGAACAGTACTGCACGCATTACCCCGCCGCCGGCACGACGAGCACCATGTACGGCATGGCCAACTGTGCCACGTCGAAGAGGTGTGGCCCCAATTACTGTTCCACGGTGTACGAGGATTGCAACCACTGCCTGAAAACAGCTCGGTATCATCTCATGTTGAAATGCGGAGACAGAGAGGGCGGTTTTGTTGAGATTGTGGACGACCAACAGTTGCAACCATGCAGTTTGTGTTGGATACGACGCTTTGCCAGTGATTTGATGATTTTCGTGGTTTTTTTATCATGTGAAATAATTTGCTATGTTGTGTTAGCTACTGTTTCAGCCGCGGGTGGGTTGGTTTCTGTTTTCTGGAATAAAAGTTAAAGAAGGTAATGCAAGGAACGTTCGTTAATTATTTCCATAAACCTAGAAAAATTCCTAACGCCTTGTAAATCGGTACGGTATCGATATATCAATATTAAATATCGAGATCTCGAATACCAATTAGTATCATAAATTCAATCTCAATCCTCAATCTAATTCCCAAAAAAATTCGGTATCTCAATCTCTAAAATTTTATTCGGTATCGATGTATACAAAATACCAAATTAATTCTCTTCAAAATTATAAATCAAATACACAAATTAATTTTCTCCACAAACCATTCTGAAAATATATAAAAACAAAAAAACTATATGGTGCCAACACTCGTGCAAAACAAATGGAAAAAAAATCTCAAATATATTAACAACACACTAGAAAAATGTGGTGCATAAGAAGCACATTAACAAACTAAAACAGGAGACTACTAAACAACACATAAACATACTATAAGTAACAACATGACATTGGTATGGATTGTCAAATAACGAGGGAATGAGTTATCTATAATTGACATTATTAGTGGTTGAGAGTCTGGTACTAGTGAGTGAGGGGGTCTAGCTAGTTGAGAGGGATAAAATACATAGTAGTTAGAGGTGGCAATTAGGATCCAAATCCATGAATCCAATCAAATCTATCCACCAAATTATTCACCTAATCCAATTCATTTAAATCCAATCCATTTGATCCAAATCCAATTGGATTGGTGGACTCATGGATCAATCCATGGATCCAAATGGCAAATTAAGATTTGGTATCTATATTTTTTATATTTTACATTTTGGTACCTCAAATTTATATTTTTATATGAAAATATCATTGGAAAATTACATTTTGGTACCTAAAATTTTTCATTATGACATTTTAGTACCAAAACTTTTCAAATTTTACATTTTGGTCCAAGCCTTGGATGTCATTTGGATTCATGGATCAATCCACCAATCCATTTGATCCGTGGATCCACCAATCCAATCCACGAATCCACGAATCCGATCCAATTGCCACCTCCAATAGTAGTCTATATTTTGGTATTGATTGGTATTTCGGTATAGACCGATCCCAATCTCGTAATTCCTATTACCAAATAACACTTGAATTCAATCTCAACCCCAATTTCAATCCCAAAAAATCAATAGTTGACAAATTCGATACGATACTCGATATATCTCAAATACCCGTACTAAACTTTCAGCTTACAGGTGAAGGGCCATAATGTAAAGGAAAGATATGCGGACAAGCATATAGTTACATATTAAACTGATTGTAGCAGTACTTGAACATGGCTTCAAGCAATCAAATTTAGATTGTGCCATCTTCATTTCTCACATTGAAGGCCATTTGGTTGTTCTGATTTGTCCATTTGGATGGCATATGTGATTGGGAATGTGTGGATCTTGGAGTAGTGCAAGTGTACGTGTGCAACCAATAATGGATTCCAAGTTATGTAGTCTGTTTTTAAAATGAACGACCTGGGAGTTCGGCAGTATTTATGTATTCTAGATGTAATAATAATTTCTTGAGGTGTCGAAGGAGGAAAGGTTCTTGGATCTTAAGCTAGCCAAGGCACCTTAAATTGCTAATAAACAAACACTTTTAAGCTTAAGATGGTGAAACTTTCGCAATTTCTACAATTATAAGCAACCGGGTAACTAGGTCAAATTCAGTATTTAACTGCCACCAGACTTGATACTTCCTACAACTCTTCATTACAGGGTATTACAAAGAGTTTTGAGATACGTGAAGATGCATCTGTCCAAAGGGCCGGTTTTCGATTTGAGGTGCAATTCAAGATGAGACTCGTTAAGGTCACTCATCCTTGTTATACTCTACACTGATCACGTTTAATTTCGGAATTCTCACAAGAACTCTTTCATTCTCACCCCAAAATGCGTCTTGTCAGTTAAAACCAATCTCTTATTCATAAATCATAAATCTCTCTCTTACTTTGTTTGTCGATGTACGATTCGCTTAAAGGTGTTACGCTTATAGCACCCCTTAACTTTTATTCCAAAAGAAGAAACCCAACCGACTGAAACATGTTTTCCCCCCAAAAGGAGCCGCAGCGTACAATAGGAGGGTTAATTAGTTAAGAGCAGAGGTGTGCATCCGTAAATTGCATGCTACACAGCTGCTGTTTCCCGGCGTCAAGAACCACAGCGTAGCCGGCGACTCTCTTCCCGCACTCCTTGACGAGACGGTTCCGAGCGGTGGTCAGACACGTGGAGCACTGAGCGGCGGTGGTGGAACAGTAGCTCCCGCCGCAGCTCTTGGACGCCGAGGCGCAGTTGGCGAGGCCGTACACGTACTTGGTGCCGCCGGTTTTGGTGGCGGCAGGGTACCAAGTGCAGTACTGCTTGTAGGGCGCGTCGAAAGTGTTGGCGATCAGGTAACCGAAGAGCTTGTCCCTCGCCGCCGCCAGAGGGTCGCCGGACTTCAACTTCCCTCCGCTGCAGGTGGCCGTGCCTTCGGTGAAACGAACGATGCTGCTTCCCAGCACAAGATACAGAGAGATAATTGCCAATGATGAATTCATAATCTTTTTTTTCTTTTTCTTCTTTTTCTGGTATGGTTAGAGAATAGATTGGTGAAATTAAGTTGAGATGTGGATTATATATGGAGAGTTTCAGGCGGCCAGTGGATGCTGTTTTTCTAACTCCTCCAAAGATGTCCGACGGCGATACTATGCGAGTGACGGTTCACGGAAGCAACCTGTTGTTGTATTATTAAAAAATGTAGTTTCAAGTTTTCACGTAACTAACACCATATCGGTGACGGTGCAGTGAGTTAATTACGGTGTATTTTTATTTTCGGTTAAAGTTGGATTTTGCCGGTCAGGAAAGAATTATTCCTTTTTGTGAACATGTATTCAAACACAATATATCAATGGACAGATGTCCTAGCTTTAAATGATGACAATTTGAACCCGTCTTGTTGGGTGCATGCATGATCTGATTTGCGAGTAGTATACAAAATTCGTAGTAATATGGAGAGAGATATGTGAGTATTATTTTCGTCCTGTACCTATTCGTTCCCCCTTGTTGACCTGTTATATTGATATGTCTCAATATCTATGTTATATTATTATATTATACTAATACTGTATTTCAATTAAAATTGAGAATTTGATGTCTCAAAACTAGTTTTATAATTGGGTAAATAGTTTGCACTCGTTTTGCGAGTGCACTGTAGAATATATGGAGAATTTTAGGGCGGCCGGTTTATGCTGTTTTCTGAAATTACTCCAAATATATAAGTGTTCCATTTCCATTCCTTTCATCATTAATTCCTATGGAAGTGAGAATTCGCAGAAGCAATCCACCATTTACATATTAATTAGCCAGCTAGTCTCAATCGTATTATATATTTCTACATTGGTAGCACTAGCCTCAATGGGGCTGGCTGTTGGAAAAATATTTAAATCAATCATAAAACATTTATTCAATTAAATCATTTTTATTTAAATGAACATAAAAATTCGTAATCTTAAAAAGCAAATATCAAGGTGGTAAACCAACAACCTTCAAGCATAGTCAAAGAGGCCGATCTCTCTCGTGGATTAGAGCCAGTGATGAACAGTAGAGGCCACGAATTTTTTATTCTACCAAGGATTTAATTTGGTTTAATGAAACTGTGTCCCTGCAAGCTTAGTTTATTAAAACTAGCAAAACCCAAATCATACCAGAACCAATAGCAAGCAAAATTAACATGTAGTGTTCCGTCTTATTAACCAAAATCGTCCATAATACAAAAACCATAGAAACGAAACTGCTGCAGAAATTAACAAATTAAAGCTACGAGGCTTAAACTTGAATATTAGTTTTGCAAAGCGACCCATTCATTCTTAAGCAGCAAGCATAGCAGTCTCCCACTCCACGGCTTTCTTCAATAGGCTGTCCTCTTCCAGCACCATCTGTACCGGCAAGAACCCCATCCCGCTCGCCATTGCCAACATCATCTGCCTCGTCTCGGCCTTGAACTCCTCGAGATCCACCTTCCCATTCGAGTCATGATCGAACTTGGTGAACAGAGACTCGTACTCACTAGCCAGCTCGCTGGGGCTCATACTCTCGTCGATGCCAAAATGAGTCTCGAAGACCCTCAAACTCTGCAGCTCCTTCAGCATCTCCGAATACGAGAGCTGTCCATCGTGATCACTGTCAAGATTCACGAATAGCTCGTGAACCGAGACAGTGAAGGCCTCCTCGTCGCCAACAAATTTGACGATGGTGTTGCCGTCTAGAACTTCCACACTCATCGTATATGGCTTTTTTTGGGATGTTGTTAGAAAGATTTTGTGAAAGAAAAGGGGTGAAATTGAAGTTGGTTGTGGGTTTTCAGTTGGTTTGGTATGAGCTATGAGTTTGGTTGGAGAGAGCTTATGAAGTATGTTATTTATAGGTGCATGTTGTAGTTTCCATTTGTTTCCTAAGAAAGATCTTCCTCTGTTTCTTTGTGTGTGTGTTGTTTTGCTCTGGGCTGGTTGTTTGGAGGATATACCACTGGACTAATTAAAGTAGTTCTGGTGGCCTACAAAGATTGCTTTTTGGATCAGTGGATGGATGGTTATGTCACAAATTTTTGTTTTAGTTAAGTTAATGGAGAGATTGATATCTATTAGCGCCTAATCAAAACCTACAGGCAGGGAGGGGATTACTAAATAGGTAAATACCAAGTGGGGGTAATTATATGGCTAGGAAGGAATTGAAATGGAAAATTACAATTAATTATTTTTTATATATATTAATATTAATTTGGAAGTTGGTCACGCTGTTTTTGACCGGTTTGGACTTTAGTATAGTAAGAAGTAAGAACCTGAAAGACAGAAGGCTTTCATCCTTCTGGTCGCGGTCGCCAAAGCCCATTGGAAAGCTTTCAACACAAACAAGGAAAATATATAAGTTTATGCCCAAAGTATCTTCATTAAGCATCATGTTCAATTCCGATGGAGGTTTATCTAGTTCATACATAGCGAAAGTGTTATGGGATAATCCAAGTATCACATC